GCCTGCCTCAAGCAGGCTGCTGCACGCCAGCCCCTGGCACACTTCGGCATTGGCAAGAGCTGCCTCCTCGGCCTGCTCGCCCTCCTGCAGTCAGGAGGCAGGCCGAGGAAGTACATAGGACTTCCCAGGCACTTCCGGGGTAGGCAGTTGGTAGTTGCAGTCTTCAGGATTCGGGTGCAGCACTCTGGAGGGAGCGCTGCGTTGTAGTAGTGGTAGCGTTAGCTAGTAGTCTTCAGCGCTGGGCGCAGTAGGTAGCTGTAGTCTCCAGCGCTGGGCGCCATAGCTAGGTAGTACTAGAGGGAGAGAGAGAGAGCTTGGGTGGAGGCCAGAGGTACCCACCTGCAGCGCCGTTGCTCCAGCTTCGTCTTCGAGGTACCTGCAGCACAGCGCCAACATCACAGGTTAGTACTTGGTTCGTAACAGAGAGAGAGAGAGAAAGAGTTCTTCTTCTTCTTCTTCTCAGTCCACCATCTCTTCTCTCCCTCTCACTTCTGACTTCACTGCATCTGCAGACTATGAGAGGAGATACACAGCTTGGTGACATTGGATCCAGACTCGACTTTCGAGGGTTCAGACATGGCAATGAGGGACTATTTGGGATTGGTGACCAAGACTTGGTGTTAATGACATTCCCATCTTCTTCCCTCCTTTCGTCTGTTCCTTATCTCTTCGTCTGTGTATGTCTGGACCTGGCGCTTTCTTCCTGTGTGTAGCGCCAGGCTCCTTCACACTTCGTGATGGATACAATGCATGTTTAGTCTGAGTTCAAACATTGATTGGGCTAGTTAGAGGTACTCTAGCATTCTGCTTCGTTACTCTGAACTACGTGAATGAGGTCAGTCCTGTCAGGTCAGTCTTGTATCAAAGTCTTCCCTGCGCTCTTCAGCATCTTTATGTATGAATGAGAATGTACATTGCTTGTTGAGATCCTACTCGTACCGCATTGTCTATTCAGTCCTTTTCATCACATTGCAGATTCTCGGTTTATTACGTACATTGCATATCTGTGCATGTAACAGTTGGTATCGGAGCTTTTGCACGTGAATCAGGACAACCTGATCTGACACGTATGCGGGGACTTAAAAAGCTGGTTAGTCTTTTCTGTTTGATTAGGACTTACTAGTTAGAACCCAAAATCACGATCTTGACCTTACTACACAAAAAAAAATCGATTTTTTTTTCTTTTCTCGGATTTTCTTTTCTCGCTATTCTGCTGTGGAAAATCGCTATATCGCAACATCTGAAATTCTTATTTTCGTTTTTCTTTCTGAAAATTCGAAATTTCGTTGTTAAAAATCCGGAATATATTTCTTTTTGAAAATTTTCGATTTTCTGTTGCATTTCCCGTACTTAGAACTTCGGAATATCTTCTTTTCTGAAATTCGTTTTTCTGAAAACGGAGAAAAGGTTAACCGACCCCCCATTTTTCACCTCAATTTATAAGAAAACCATAAGGCCATCCCAAGCAAACTTCACACCAATCTATAGAGTGCACTTCTTACTAACATATTATAAAACAAATACCAAAAAAAAAAAAAGAAAAACACATAAAACAGCAACTCAAAAGTGCATTTTCAGGCAATTTTGCCAAAAAACAACTTTCAGGATTTTCAGGATTTTCAGGATGATTAACAGCACAAATTCTAATAACCCAAATGACACCAAATTTGACACACAGTAAGCTTGTCCTAAAACAAAAACAGGCAAAAAAAAAATTCCAAAAAAACACAAAATTTGACCCCGAAACCCTAATTTCAGGATCATTCATCGTTACCCAGGGCCGAAAAGTGGGGGTCCCCTCCTGCACGTATTATTTTTTTGCAAACTGCGAATATTCCCATCGGAGTAAATCCGAATCTTTGTCATTTCTGTTCGGACTTTTTTTCACAGTTCTTGGATTTTGTCAGTTGGTTCTATAAATTGATTGCAGTCTGAAGTCGAATTTTTTTTCGCTTTCATAGATCATTTCGTACTTCAAGGGAGATTGGGAGACCTACCGAACTTGCAAAAATCGGGATTTTTATTTTTTCTAGTTTCTCGAAAAAAAAAATTGCAAAGTTCAAACTTTTCTGGTTTGATTAGTGGCTCCTTATCTAAGTGTGAGTTGGGCGGTTATCCCACCCACCCCTCCCCACCTACGTTGTTGCCATCTCTCGCCTTGCCGTTTCTGGTTGTCTCCGGGTACCCCTTTGACGGCATAGGTAAGTTGCCACGTCAGCAGGCCACGTCAGCAGACCACGTCAGCAGGACACGTCTGCAGGCTACGTAAGTACGTCAGCAGACCACGTCAGCAGGCCACGTCAGCAGGCCACGTCAGCAGGCCTCGTCAGTAGGCCACGGCAGCAGGACACGACAGCATTGCCACGTCAGCAGGACACGGCAGCAGGACACGGCAGCATTGCCACGTCAGCAGCAAGGGATACCACATCAGCAGGCACCGGTCTGGTCTATGCTGTTGCGTTCACAGACAGCAGTTATGGACCAGAAGACCGGGGAAACAGACGAGGCCTATCAGGCCCGCATGTTAGCCTGGAGTACCGAGACAAAGAAGCGGGCAGATGACGCTGCCGCGGCAGCCAAGAAAAGGGCAGAGGATGCCGAACAGGCACGTCTGCTGGCCGTGCAACAACAGCGCCAGCACGACGAGGCAGCAGCAAGGGCTGCTGATGAAGAAAGAACACAGCGTCGTGAGAAGATATTCACCGGAGAGCGGGCGTTACTTACCATGACAGCAGAATGGCGAAGCGAGGCCGAGAACAACCAGTTGGAGGACAGCGCAAACAAGATAGCGCTCCTCCTCTCGCATCTCACAGATCTCCTGGCAACCTGCATTACGCAGCAGGCGGAGATCCTTGGTCTCGACAACTCGGTAGCTAACCTGCAAGACCGCCTTCAGCGGGTGGAGCAGCGACCAGTCGCCGTCGCCGATGCAGGCTCTTCCAATACTGCCGACCGCCTCACCGCATTGGAGATGCACGTCGGCTCCCTCCAGGACGGCGCACAGTTACAGCAGACCGCGACGCAACAATTGCAGCAGCGGATCTGCACTACCGCCACCACCTCGAGTCCGGAGCCGCGCGAGACAACTCCTAAGTTCGATGGGCAGGAGATCTTCCACGACTCAATCAAGACAGATCCGATTCCATGGTTTCGCAAGTTTGAGCTCACGCTGCAGCTCCACAACGTCAAGGAGAACAAGCATCACGCTTACTTGTACTCTCGCTCAGGGGGCGCGTATCAGGCGTGGTTGGACAACTTGTTGTCCAAGTACGGAGTGGTAGCAGCGGACTTGCACACCATGATCAGCTGGGATGATCTGAAGGCGGCGTGGCACAAGCGGTTCCAGGTGGAGCCGCCAGAGATCAAAGCCATGGACAAGCTTTTGGTCTTCGAGCAAGGCTCGCTGCCGAGTACGGACTGGATCGCCGAGTACCAACGCTTGACGTCAGTCCCAGACATCCAGATGGGCTTCAAGGCC